ATTTTTTATGCTTGCCAAGTTCACTACAAAGTTGCTTAATCATTACATTTAAAAAGCAAATTCAATATATTTCACGAAATTGATTGCTTTGCAAATTATTTTGGGGAAAAATACATAACCAGTGCCTGGTAATATTTTGTATTTAATTTATTTGTTGTTAGAGAGAGATCAGATTGTAGATATAGTAAGCCTGAATCATCTCTATTATCTTCAGGCATCTTTGTGTCTTTTAAATCTAATTAAATATGATAAAATATGATATGTTGATATATCTTCTTTACTAAAAGGGATCTTCCCTACCTTCTATACATATCGTGACACCACTCACATTCTCATCCTGTTCCCCGACTTGCGTGTATAGCTTCCAGGTTTAACCCCTCATCTTGTTTTTCCATTAACTTTACCTTGTATCTGGCAGTTGCCATCTATAACAAATAAATTCATGGCTAGACCCATTAAAAACTTATTATAGTTTTTTTGTGTGCCACTCTTGTTTTATTGTCCATTGTCGACTTAAGATCTAGAGTTGAAGTTTTCCCAGCCAGCCAATTCAGACGGTGAAGAAGCCACCCACTAAGCATGGGAAAAGTACAGAGTAATTTTCATAATTTTGCACTCCAACACCTTTGGCCCCTTCTGTTTGGAGTAGCAAACCCCCGGGGGAAAATAAGTCTCGGCTCGTTTTGAATCCAGATTTACATACAGTTCTTGGGCGAGCTGTGAGGCTGAAACCTCAAATTAAAATGCCACTAATTATGGCAATTTGTTATTTGCAAAAAAGCCAACGCCTTCTCCTACTTTTTAATCTTTTTTCAGTGACTTTAACAATGGTAAACCATTAGCAATATCTAAAAGTTTATAAGCGAAAGGCAGAGGAAGGGGGCAAACCATCACGCATAAAAATATTTAAAATTATAAAAGGTAAAATAAAGGAATAAATACTTTACCTTAAGTGCGTTGAACACACATTCATTGCCGAAGGCCAAACAAGCTCTTATACACGCATATTGAAATATGTTCACTTTTATTATTTATTTATTATATCACACCCTTTCCCCTTGGTCTATAAGTTTATGCCCACTTCAGTTGGAACCAACCAGGTGATGATTTGCTATTTGGCGGAAAGAGGGAACTCGACTCGATTCGCCAAGGAAAAGGTTAACACGAAGTACATATGTGTACATGTGCTACAAATCGAAGGCTTTTTTCTGGTTGTACCCTTTTGATATAGGGTTTATTGGTTGTACCAAAGGGTTTGTTTTAAAAAGGTATATGTTATATCTTCTTAGTACGTATTTTTATAGTTTGAGGTACTGATTTTTGCTACCTATATTTGCTTAGATTAGATTCTTGTTAAGTATGTGATATTGCATATTGCTCTAAAATTCCCAAGTCCGAATTTAGGGACAAACTTTTAAAAATATAAAACGAATAAGTCCTGCGATTTATCTCCTATAAACTTTATCGATCATCAGAGTACAGAACACTTCCTTTATCAAACTTTTATATTAATTCCTTAACTTTATTTTTATTTTTATTACCCACAAAGCTTTTCATTTGCTGTTTCCGTTCGTTTTCTCATGGTTTCAGCCAAAAAACAAAATAATACACAAAAAATAAGGAAGATTCACCAAAGCGGGACAAAGGGAATCAGAAGGGGCTGTTGAGGGTTAAGTATTGGCATTTCCGACTGGGAGACCCGAGACTCAAACTCAAAGTCACAATCAAACTGGGGGGAGACTCAAGAGACTCGAACCGCGAGACTCGATCCAAGCCTGGCAATCAAAGCCAGTAAATCTACACCAGAGCAAACTTAGCAACAACAATGAGAGCAATATTTGTGCTCATTAAGCGTAACTGACACACGAAGTTTTTTTTTGTTTTTTGTTTTTTGTTTTTGTTTTTTGGAGGGTTTCTTCATTTCGCAAGTCGCCAAAAAAACTACGCCAACGGGGGACAAGAGAGTCTTTGTGTTTTTCTTGTAGAGGCTGTGACTCAAGGCATCTTACCCCTGTCTCTGATCTTCCAAGAGAAGAGAGGAGCTGCTGCTGCTGTTGCATTGCATTGTATTGTATTGTTTTCTATGCCCTTTCAAGGAGTACTTAGGCTTTTTAAGATAACCTAACTTAAAGGGGTTCTTTACAAGAAAATAATCCTCTAATTTATACAAATAAAGCTTATAACTTTCTGCTGAGTAAACTTGATCTTAATATCTTTGTTAAAAATAAGAGTATTTCCCATTTCCCTAATCTTTCTTTTCCAAAACTTCTTGTTTTTTGTTTCCTTATTTTTCGCTTTGCATTTTCGTTTCTTGCTTTTGGCCAATTTGAGGCCCCCCTCAAAACGGGCAGAGAGCGATTGCTATTATTTTGAGGTAATTCGATGATTTACAACTGTTGCCGTGTTTTGTAAGTTTTCCTTCGAGAATGCTATGTATATAGCAGCAGATCCCACTCTTCTCTGCTCCATCGAAACTGTATGCAACAATGAAGGGTTAGGGCCCAACCTCGACCAGGCCCTCGCCACATTCTTTTGTTATTTTGCGCAATCCGTTGGTTGGTTTCTTCTGTAATTTCTTGTATGCCCCCACAGAACTCTGAATGGGTTCGGTTTTTTTCTTTTTTGGCATTGGTGGTGGTCATACCTTTTGTAAAATTCCTTTCTTCCTTCGCGGGAAACTCACATTTCACACCTGTTGTCATTATTTTCTCCCCCTGAATGTGTACGTTTCGTTACAAAAGGGGAATCCACGTATCTTCAAGTTGACAGCCTAAATAGCTAAGTAAAGAAAAGGGAAGAACTAGGGGGAGATACCTTCAGTTCTAGGCCATATGCCAGTCCTTTGAGCTGTAACTGATATGCAGATGTTTCTTAGAGGAATTTAAATAAAATTGATTACTTACAGAGCAGTTTGAAGTTATAAACCCTTTTCTAGGGGGTTTATAATCGCTTAAAGGGGAAGATTGTAATGCAAAACAAGAATTTCTAGAGGGGCAATAAAAGGTTAAGTATAAAGAACATAATGGTTTCTCACTATTATTTATAATACACCTTGGAAAATAGTCTTCCAATAATAAAATAATAATAAGAAACTACAAATATTCCATACGCATAGGAAATATCTAAAATACCTTGAAAAAATCCAAATTTTAAAGTTTTGGTAGCAAAACTCAATTTTAATGAAGTTTTCTGCTCTAACTCTAAAGTCCTTAAAATGTAATGTAACATATTAAAACGATATAAGCATATTGTACCCAAAAATATATACATAGATTCACATAAAAAACAAATCATTTAAAATAATTTAAATCGTTCTGTTGCAACACAATAATAACTAAGCCATTAAGAGCAATCAAAGAAAACACCATCTTAATGGAAATACTAAATTACCATAATCACAGTCATGTCAAGCGACGAAGGCTCCTTGCAACATTTCAATTTTCCCTGCCCCAGAGTCCCAGAGCCCACATCCATCAAAGCATGAACAACAATTTCACTTTCGAGATTCAAATGCGACGATATGCGATTCAGTGCATCGGGCTGGGCTTTCGGTTTCCAAACCAGAAGCGGAAGCCTCCGTTTAAGTCAACGCACACGAGTCACCATCTGGCGATTAGACGCTTCAGCGCCATCCATCCAACCGATCCGATCCCAGCCAGAAACCAGAGATCCAAGACATATTCCCTATGGGACACAGGGAGAAATAAGATAAGTTGCGAATTTATTTTAATAAAAACTGAAAGGAAACTTACTTCGGAAGCTGAAGTTTATGTACCCTGGAGTTTGCAATTGAATTATAGGATGGTTTAGAAAACGATCATAACTATAATATGTTTGAAATTTCCACATTCTTTGAATCAATATTTAATGATATTGTTATACGACAAAACAAAGTTTAAAAAACTAATAACTCAGTCAAAAAATCATTAATTTCAACTCGGAAAACTTTATATCTTAGTTTTTAATAGGTAAAAATATCTGCATACTCCGTTTAAAATTAAAAAAATTAAAATTTTATCAGTTTTTCACAATTTAACGATGTAAAATTTTCAAAATTGTGGAAAAAATTAATTTTTTCCAGACTTATCTAGATCTCTTCGCCTTTTGATTCTGATCAAGAATATATATGATTATAGGGTCGGAAATGACTATTTCACACTGTAAGAAGCTTGAGACTAAAATTTAATACCCTGCAAGGGTTGTGATACTAAAAAAGAAAGTATAATTATGTATTTAAAACGGATATATACATTATTATAAATTATAATGATACATCTGCTACTTAACATTGTTTTTGTATTTAAACAAATGAACTTTAGACAATATTTATTACACTATTAAATTAAGAAAGAAACATAAACCTTGACCTCTTTGAACTTAAAAGCTCATAAAAAGGTGGCATGTCGTGCAAATTATTTGTATGAAACATTTTAAGACAACTTAAATACATTACTTGTAATTAATTTAAACAGATACCAAGAAAACAATTTTGAAAAACAGCTTAAAAATTAGTCAAGTACCTTTTATAACTTCCTAACTTCAAAAGAAAGGTAGACTAATCACATCAAATAAAAGATTTAGAGTCCCCGCAGAGTCTTCTATGGTTTAACAATTACCTATTACCAATTACCTAAAAATTATTAATCCCCAGAAATATTATATTTTACAAATGTAATTTTACCATTTCTGGCGGTGTGTTGGGCGACATTTTGGCGACGCTTGGTTGCATTTTGTTGAGCACTCCGTGGCGAGGACGTTGTAAGTAAGTATGTGGCTCGTGTGGCATGTCATGGCTCCAGTGGCGCGATAAATGCTCATTTCGCTTTCTATCAGCGTCTCGTGGCAGTCTAATGGAGGTTTAATTATGCTACACTGGCGGCGTGCCCTCGTCTGTCGCATAAATTACACCGAGCAATGCCTTGATTTATTGTTTACCTACAGTTTATGTTTTTTTGCTAATGCCTTGCCCGTTTTTATGTTTTTGTATATTTATCTTGCAGTGACTTGACAATATGCCGCTGAGGTCGTAGACTCCGAGTGAGTAGATTAAGGCGAGGGCAGGAAAAAACCGAAACGACACCGAAGGCAAACAAGGAACCAACACAAAAATGTCCGGCAATCAACAACAGCAGCAGCAGCAACAACAACAACCACAGCAAAAGTCATTAACCAACGCGGCAGCAACATCAGTAACTACAAACGGAGCAACAAGCACTTTAAACAATAATTTGATAAAAATAAATAGCGTTGACAAAATAATAGGCAAAGCCCAGGCAGCGGCGCAGGCAATTAACAAACATCAGCAGCAGCAGCAGCAACATATCCATCAGAGACGCTCTTTGTTACCAGGAACGACAGCAACATTGGCAACAGCAGCAGCGTCTGCTTCAACTCAGCACCAGCAACACTCAACGCAGCAACAAAGCGGAACGCCAACGCCACGGCGCAGTCACCAGCCCAAAAACAGCAGCAGCAGCAGCAGCAATCACACCAATTGCAGACCGTGGCCACAATACATCAGCAGCACTCCACGCAGCAGCAGCAGCAGCAGCATCATCATCAGGCATTGACTTCCCGCCTGCCCATCCAACAGCAATCTGCTAAAGAATTGCCTAATCTTGCTAGCCAGCAGCAACATCAGCAGCAGCAGCAGCAGCAGCAGCAACAGCAACAACAGCAGCAGCAACAGCAGCAGCTGCAGCCACCGCAGCAACGTCGCAGCTTCTACCAGTTGCAACAGCAGCAGCAATCTCTGCGCAGCCCGCAGATAAAAACACCGGCTCCCGCCCACTCCATACCGCCGAGGTATCAGCCACCCCCGCAGCCAGGAACCGGGATACTCAAACCCCACTTGCCCATCAAGTATCCGCCGGATATACCACAGTTATCAAGCATCTACATACCCGACTCCATAAAGCAGCAGCAGCAGCAGCAGCATTCGCGGTATCTGCAACATCAGACGGGAGCGAAGGGCGGAAGGGACAGGCACAGGATATGCTGAAGTTTGTGCGCAAGCCCGATCAGGAGCATCCATCGCCCAATGCCTCGGTCACGTCCAGCGGCACGGGAATACCCTCGACCAACGGAGGTGGCCGCTTAACGGCCGAACAGAACCGCCAGCTGCAGTCGCTGGTCAATGAGTTGCGGGCATTGAAGGAGCAGAACCAACGTCTGCTGGACGACAACCAGGAGTTGAGGGATCTGTGCTGTTTCCTCGACGACGATCGGCAGAAGGGTCGTAAGCTGGCCAGGGAGTGGCAGCGATTTGGGCGATACACAGCCAGTGTGATGCGCCAGGAGGTGGCAGCCTATCAGGTGAGTTTAGGAGGTGTTAAATTATCGAGAATATTAAATATATATTCCAATACCTTTACAGAACAAACTACGTCAGCTGGATGATAAGCAACAGGAGCTAATCACCGATAATTTGGAGCTCAAAGAGCTCTGCCTGTATCTGGACGAGGAACGAGCTCATGTGGCAGCCAATGCTATATGCGCCGGATGCGGTGCCGCCACCAGAAATGCATTGCGCGATGACGGCGATGGCTCCAGTTCCAGTACCAATGCCGACGAAACCATTACCGCGTTAAGGAACTATGCAGAGCAGCGGCAACTGCCACAGGTTAGAACCAATAAGAAATATACAAATTATAAAACAAGTAACTAAACTGTTATATTTTCCATTTTTGCCAGGATCTACGTCATGCCCACACGCTGAACGACCAGACGCTTCAGTATGTACGCTCGCTGGAGCGACGCATCCAGCAGCTGGAAGAGGAGCGCACCACGCCAACGGCCCATCTGCAAACGACGACGCCCACGCCGCAGAATACGCCCACGCCAATGGCACATCTGCAGCAACGCCAACACCAACAGCACCAGCCAAATCAGCACCCTCGCCGCATCACCACCAGCAGCCACAGCATCAGCATTCGCAACAGCAAACCCAGCAGCAACAGCAGGACATTGTGGCCGCTGCAGCGGCAGCAGCTGCGGCTATTCAACTACCAGAACCTATTGCCGGACGCCCGGAAGCGGTAGTACGTGCCCTGCAGGTCCTCGAGGTGCGAGAACAGCTGGAACGCGATCGTCTGGGCAACTTGGCCGGCAGTGCCCTCGACCAGATGGATGATGGCGAGAAGGCGCTGGTGCGGGAGATGTGCAACGTGGTTTGGCGCAAGCTAGAGGGCAGTCCCCATGGACCAGCGGCACTGGAGCCGCTCTAAGCGGACGAGGAAATATATGGAGGAGAGAAACGGATGCAACCTAAACCGGGCTAACACCTAGACTCTAATGTTTAATGCTAACTTATGCCGTAATATTTAACCCTAAAACATTGTACAAAGCTCAAACCACAACCTAAGCTTAAGCTTAAGCTACCAACAACAAGGCGCAAGAATACTCAAATAATATTTGGCATGCTCCAGCAACTGATTTAAATGTTAATCGATTTAGAAAACAATTTCCAAACTCTTAACCCTTTTTAATTGTGTATTTTAATTTAACTTTGTCCCCATATTCATTCATATATATTTTGCAATTCAGCTTCCAAATCGAGCTTTAACTGGTCTTAAAGCTGTACGATTTGGATGCGAATCGATAGCAGTAGCCCGATGACTCCACGAAAATCAAATAATCAACACAATTGTTGTTTATTTTTGATTTGGATCGATTTTTTTTTTTGTATTGAATGATCACTCTTTTTAATTAGTTTGTAACTCTACGGATCAGTTGATGGGGTATACTCATCATTATTTTATTTTACCTATTATAAACTTTGACTGTTATTTTTGAATATGCCAAGAGGTCAACAACTTTCAATGAAAAATTTGCTAACTCGAAATATACAATGCAACAATATATATTTCCAAAAACTCATTAATGATATTCTTTTGATTGGTCGTGATTCATGGGATGTATACAGATATTCATATGTAGAACGCTGATTCACTGCTACAGAACCTGACTATATATATATATACATTCTGTAATAGATCTTGCTAAGCGCATTACACACCTTTGTTGTTGCGCTTTCTACGCTTTGCTGGACCTTACATGATCGCTTACCTACTCACATACATGTGTATATATATGGACGTGCTTTTCGAGACAAACGTAAATTACCGCAGAGCTGTTTAACCTGATTTTTCTTGGCCAATTTGCCCATATCACATTCATTCAGAAAGATCGCCGCTTCTGGGACAGGATGATGCAGCAAGAAATTGCACACACAAACTGCAAGACAACCCACTTTTGGTTGTTCTTTGGCGTTGTTGTTCTCGTTTTGGATACTCTCTCGCAGTGAGTATTTTAATTTTAATAGGAAACTTGGAAAGTTAATGTTTTGATTCATAAATTATCATTTGGTGATTTTGTTTTGGGAGTTTTTAGAGAAAATGCATAAGACTAATGCAAAATATACTAATGTCAGGGATTGTTCCTATTACTGGATTTTATAATTATTATTGTTGCCCAATCACACATTATTAAATTTATACTTTTAGTGGCCAGTTTAAATAAATATAAATATCGTATCATATAAAGATCATATCAATTCTATAGGTTCGTTATGAGATTGGTAATATTATACATTAAAAATGTTTGTTTTCTATCTTAAAGTAGGATCCTTCTGTCTTACTGGCTTAATAGAAATATAGTTCGTAAACTGTATATAAAATTCGTCTTTAAATATTTCATTTGTTCATTGTCCGTGGATGCCTCGGTTGCGCCTCAGAGATTGAGGCGCGAACATGTGAGATTTAAATTTACTGCCATTAAATATGCAACCTTTACTTGGATTTTATTTTCATTTTATTTTATTCGTATTTTTGCTGGTGAGGATTGGCTCAAGCGGGATAAGAATCAGTTGGAGAACGTGTGAAAAAATTGAGGAACAACTTAATGTGAGAGGGAATTGGTTTAAATTCAAATAAAGGGATCTAAATAAATAAATATTAAATCATCAACTTAAAATTGCTAAAGTATAGAAATAACTTAAGCTAAAGCTCAGAACAATTTATGAAAATATAATGGATAATGGGGAATATTTTCCTTAATACTCTTTCATTTACAAAATGTGAGAAGTTTGCTCTCAATACTTGACACACTTTGGGCTCCCCGCGAAGTCAGAGTCCCATCTAAATGGAACATTACACCGCCGAAAATAGCAAATAAGCGGAGATTATTGAAGAGAAACGACTGGGAAAAGCAGTTCCAGGCACAACCGCTAAGTCGGACTCTGACTCTGAGTAAGATCCAGCAGCATCCGCGCATCTCGGAAGATGGAGACGGGCGCACTTTTCATCCAACATCGCAGCGAAACGCACGCGCGAAAAAAATAATCGGAGTGCGCTGAAAACGACGAAGAAGTAGGAGTCGTCGCATCTGAACACATGGCATGGATGCGGACATGGACATGGAAGCCATAAAAATGCTGTCGTCGACCATGAATATGCCAACCAGTCCAACTCCGAATCCAAATGCGATGCAGCCGCACTATTACGACGCTGGATCGGAATAACCGACAAAAACATCAGGTTCAGTGCGAGGAGCGGGGCGAGAAAAAGAAAGTTATTGGAGCCGGTTGCGGCAACCGTTCTACTGGCCATGTCCTCCACCTCCACACCCCACTACCATCTCGCTCCTCGGTGCTCTTTGCATACTGATCTTCCAATTGAGCCTGACTCCATCAGTGCTCTGCGTGTCGCCGGCCAACGAGACAACGGCCTGGCCACCCATGCATCATTACGATATTTGGGACGATCACTTGGTGGATTCCGATGAACGGGAGGAGCCGTTGATTAGCAATGAGGCGGACTTTGAGCTGCAAACAGAAGCACAGCAGGATCTTGAGCTGGAATGCACCATCATTCAGACATCACTGATGGAGATGGAACCAAACAATCAGCAGACAAGGAAAAGGTAATTAGCAACTGAACATCTTTATAATATATTAAATATAATACTTTACCCTTTCGCACACCAGTGATCCACCTCTTCCCCGTGCCTGTGGATGGTGACTGTATGTCTGACGATGGTCGTCGATGGGCAACTGCCTCAATGCCTACGAGTGTCGACAGAAGGATGGTCAAGCTCGAGGTGAATGCGCCATGGGATTCGGGGTCTGTTGCGTATTCCTAGCCAATTGCAATACCACCATCGCTAACAATATCACCTATATCGTGTCGCCGGGATTCCCCAGTTTTATGCCCAGCAATTTTACCGGCTGCCGTTTGCGGGTAAAGATGATGAGCGATGACATAAGTCAGGTGCGAATCGACTTTCATCACTTCACATTGGGTCAGCCCAATCGCAGAACTGGGGTCTGCGAGGGGGATGTCTTCAATATAGGCGGAGGACCCGGTGGAAATATCTCAATTTGTGGTCAGAACAGTGGACAGCATTGTAAGTTTTAGGATAAATGAAAAGATTTATAAAATCTTTGATTATATTCCCTTTTATATTCCAGTATATTACGATGTCGGAGCTCGGGTCTCTCCACGACAATCCACGTTGTATGGGAGCCTTCGTCCTGTGGAAGGAACTAATAGCAGCTCTGCCAACGGCACCTCAACGGGGGGAGATCGCTTTGTGGACATTAATCTCAATCTATCCAATCGCTTTTTGCCGCTTCGAATATGGGAGATGAGCGTAACGCAGATACCATTCAGTCAACGAGCTCCTGCCGGTTGCCTGCAATATCATACCGGAACTGAGGGCGTCATGCAGACCTTTAACTATGCCGAAAATGGCCGACATTTGGCCAATCAGAATTATAGAATTTGTGTTCGCCAGGAACAGGACATGTGCTCGATCATGTACACGCCTTGTGATGAGCAATCCTTTCGGATTGGCGGTGGAGGACGGATGGTCACGCGAGCTGGTGAAGTTACAGCGGGAAATCAGGGAGCAGCTACCTCAGCTCCTGCACAGCTGGCTCAATCGGATGTTGCAAGCACGACGGCAACCTTGGTTAATGCAGCAATGACCACAGCAGCACCCACGTCCAGTACACTGATCAAATGCTGGCCAACATGGCCAACTCCACAGCCTCCAGTTTGATGTCCATGATGTCGAGCAATGCCAGTTCAGTTGCAGCACCATCCAGCACCGCCGCCAGCACCAGCAGCAGCAGCACGGCAGCAATGAGCACGACGACAACATCAACCACAGCAGCACCACTCCGTTCCAGTACAGCGGCTTCTACTTCCTCGGCAGCACCGTCATCCTCGCCGGCTAGCGACGACGTGGAGGGCTCAGGCGGTGAGGACGGAACAGCTGGCGATGATGACGACGATGGAGGCTTCCTATTCTTCAGAAGTCCACCCACAACCGAAGAGCCGGGCGTTTCGCGACGTCCACGTCCGGTGAGTGGTGGCTTCGATATCCTTGGCTTCATTCGCAATGCCTTCGATTTGCAGTTGCGCCGGCGACGACGACGTCAGGCTCGCCAGTTCTTTAGCACCTGCTCGGACAGGATAACGATGCCGTGCATCATTGAGGATTTCATTGGCACGGGTCTGGGTCCGCTGCCTGGCTGCGAGCCTGTCCATTGCGGTGCTCAATTCTGCTCCTCGGGTGCGTGGCCATGTCGCATCGAAAGCACAGTGACTCCATTCTACATAGGCGTTCATTTCGGCAACGGTCTGGGTGCTGGCAAGGCGAATGCCGAGGACAATGTTGGAGCCTGTCTGCGTTTCTCCCAAGTGCAGTGCATGTAGTGCAGCACATTCGTTTCGTTTTAGAAAATGGAGAGAGAAAAGAATTAAGAATTTATGCACATATTTAAATAATTTAAAATGTATTCTCTGTATCCAAATTATTTATTTATACACCAGCCTTATGGTAGTTTTAATGATTTTCGAAATGAGATTTTACAAAACATATCTGAGGGATGGATTATAAACTTAAAGTCTATATAAAGACTGTATTAGTATTCATTCACCCATGTGAGGCACCTATATATATATTTGTCAAAAAATACTTCGTTATATACATTCTTTGATGATATCGGAAGTTTCCCTTCAACTTATTCGAGCCTAACTAGGAATATATCTGGGAGTAGGACTCGCAACCCCTGGATAAATCGCACGGGGGACAATCGGATTAATCTAAGATGTTATAACACTGATAGTAACCTTATGTTCATTTTGATCGTTTGCTAGATGAGATTATTTTTCTTTTGAACGTTTTGCTTTCCTTAGATGTTTTCTTATCGAATTAAATAAATCCAATCAGTTTGTATAAATGTGATGTTTTTGTGCAATCAGACGAAAGAAGAGTAAATAAAATAATTGATGAGTGAGTTCAAGAACTCTGTGCTGTGTTATTGTGTGCGTTTTGTGTGAGCTGCTTATCGCTGGAATGCGAGAAATGCAAATAAAAGCAAACACGTATAGTTCAACAAAACTTAGTGTGCAACCTTATTAATAAAAGGCCGTTCCCAGGGCAATTATGATTCTTTGGTTATCAGCGGGTTAATACCACTGGACTATGGTTATATTAAAAATACTCGCCCGATGCCTTATAGGCCCGCGGACAATTCTGTTCGGCATACTTGGCGTAGGCGCTTTTGTGCCTCGTTTTATCTTAAGCTTGCTCGAGTGCTTGTTCCACACGTGCACCACATACGAGTCCTTGGTGAGGGCCAGTGTCTGCGACAGCTTTTCGGGCTCGAAGAAGTCCCGCCACTGTTTCCATGGTACGGCATAGAAGGCATCACGCCCGAATACCTTAAAGCCCAGCAACGCTTGTGATCCTCCTGCATCACTTCAATGTTCTTCGTGCCGCAGATTTTCTGGGCCACACGTGTTATCACTCCAGGTCCGTTGTTGCCCCAATCCTTACCGTCAAATTCAGCTGAAAGTCGCGCAGGCACGATTCTGCGATTTCATGGCCAAAGCCGTAGCCGCCAGGCTCATCACGCCCGCCGCCAAATGAGTATTGGACTCAGCCCCTGTATAATTGGGCGGCACCTCCTCCATGCTGCGTAGCACCACCACATCCATGTCTAGATAGAGACCGCCGTAGCGATATAGCGTGAGATAGCGCAGGAAATCCGAAATGTGCGAGAACAGATAGCTGGCAACGGGGAATCGATGTAGCAATTATGTTTAGGGGAATTCTCCCAGCTCACCTTGACAGGAACAAGCTTCCGTCCTTAAGCCACTCCTCGATGGTGTTCCGGTAGCGTAGCTCCAGGGATTCAGTCGTCGCAGATGTACATTACTGTAGCTTAGATGGCTTCAACCAATGGCTGCGTATTGCTATTGTTGCTCCTTCCGCCATTTGAGATTCTATATGTGGGACCGGCGAACAAGACAAAGATCTGGAAATTCGGATTATGCAACGCCGCGGACTCGATTGCGCAGGCCTGGCGGGCGGTGAGTTCCATTAGCTTGTACCGCCTGTTCTCAGTCTGCTGGCAGCTGGTCTCGTGAAAGAAAATGCTGCGACCGGGCACCGGCTTCGGATCTGCCAGCAACACATCCTCCAGCAGACTGACATCCAAGTCTCCGCCCGGCGACTGGGTCGCCATTCCTTTTGTGTCCATGAAACATAGCTGGTTCTCGATTGTCCAGTGGTACGAAAGTATAATACCACCCATCAGCAATGCCATCAGGATTAACAACAGTAGGCGTAGTCTTCCATTGTGCAGATAGCGCGCCACCAACATGGGCGCGCGCAGAATCATGGCGAGACGATCTAAGACAAGACGAGGACAGATATGGCGATACAAACGCTTGCAATGTGCTTCAGTTGCTTACTGTTTTGCCGCAGTTACTCCATCATCGTTTTTTTGTTGAAGTAAACTTCTTGCTGATAAGAACGCTTTTTCTCGCGGAAAAAATGTTTACCAGGCTTTGCAAAAACACAGTCCACAACAATTGCTGAACAGTGTGACCAGGCCGCGCCACGGAAATCACGTCAGCCCAGTACCACGGTACATCTTTATAAAAGCAAATATCTTGTATATGTCCAAATATATGTAGTTATTAGTTACAAAGCTAAATATTCAGATTTTTCTCAAAATTTAACCAATCAACATTTAATACAAATATATAAAAAAAAGAAAATTTATAATTGTACCTATACATTATATTTATAGCTTTACAGTTACATTTCGTCTACAAGTACCTTTCGCGAATATATATATATTCTTTCTGTTCATTTTTGATCGTTCCTATGACAGCTATATAATTTAATTTTCCGATTTAGCCGTCTGACTTATGACCCATGAAAAATGCAATAAATGTAATGTTTTATTCAGACAGCTTTAAAACTATGAGAATAGTTTGGCAGAAACGGACATACGAATATGTCTAAATCGACTCGGCTATTCAGGCTGATCAAAATATATATACTTTATTAAGATTTTGTCAACAACATCCTGCAAAAGTATTACATTTTCACTCGATGCTGAAGAGGTGAATTGAAGTTTCTTTTAAAATATAATAGTTCTTAATCAAATACTGCACTCGTATTTAGTATGTAATAAACTTGTAAATTATTGACTAAAAATATGTTTTTTTTTTTATGAAAAAGTGATATATTTACTAATAATAACAAAAATAATGTAAAGATAGCTAGTTCATATAGTTCGCAAGAGGTGGGCAGCCCATCCATGAGAATTCGCAGAAGGCGGCAGCCCTACACCAAAATGCGGCCCATCTATGCGTATTTGAGCAACGGTCACATTGGCCCAAAAGCGGCATTGAGAATTTTCCGACTTTTTTCAATTTTCGTGTATTGGCCGGCGCCCGCAACGACCGGTAGACATAGCCACGCTTTCACCCCTTAACCATATAGCAAAATAGTGAAATGAATGTTCCTCCTAGCGTTGGCAATGGAGGAGCGCCGCCGGGCGCCAGGGGCATCGGATACACGCCGCCGACTGCCATAGTGCCACAGTTTCCGCCGCCCGGATTTGCAGCCCCGCCCCCGCCAGAGTTGGCGGCAGCGTTTGGTGTGATGGCTTCCAACACGGAGTGGACGGAGCACAAGGCGCCGGACGGAAGGCCTTACTACTACAACCAGACCACGAAGCAGAGCTCATGGGAGAAGCCCGAGGCCCTGATGACGCCCGCCGAACTGCTGCATAACCAGTGCCCTGGAAGGAGTACCGCTCGGACACGGGAAAGGTCTACTACCACAACGTGGCCACCAAGGAGACCTGTTGGGAGCCTCCGCCGGAGTACGTGGACATGAAGGCCAAGGCGAAGGCGGAAGAGTAAGTGAATCACGTGAAAGGGTTGAAATAATAATCAAAATTACCTTATCTGTATTGCAGAGCGGCTGCTGCCGCCAAAGCCGTGGCGGCCATGACCTCCTCCAGCTTGGCGGGAATGGTTCCACACGCTGCTCTGGCCAATATTCTTCCAGCCGCGTTGCCCGCAGCCCCCAGGATACCCACACCCGAGATTCACTCGCCCCTGACGCCGAGCAGCAACGAGAACTCATCGTCTGCCATGGACCAGGCAATGGCGGCCACTTTAGCAGCTATCGAGGTCCCCCAACAGAATGGTAAGTACACTCTTATCCTGCTTTCACTACCACTAACACCCAACTTTTGTTTTTAGCCAAGAAGGAAGAGAAGGCGGATAGCAATGTAGTGTTCAAGGATAAGCGAGAGGCAATCGAGGCGTTCAAGGAGCTCTTGAGGGATCGCAATGTGCCCTCGAACTCCAACTGGGATCAGTGTGTAAAGATCATATCAAAGGACCCCCGCTATGCTGCCTTCAAAACCTAACGAACGCAAGCAGACCTTCAATGCCTACAAGACGCAGAAGCTGAAGGACGAACGGGAGGAGTCCCGTCTGAAAGCCAAGAAGGCGAAGGAGGACCTAGAGCAGTTTCTTATGTCCAGCGATAAGATGAACTCGCAAATGAAATATTTTCGGTGCGAAGAAGTGTTTGCCGGGACTCGGGCATGGACGGTTGTGCCGGAGGCGGATCGGCGGGATATATACGAGGATTGTATATTTAATTTAGCGAAACGCGAGAAGGAGGAGGCGCGGCTGTTAAAAAAACGGAACATGAAGGTACTCGGTGAGCTGCTAGAGTCAATGACGTCCATCAATCATGCAACTACCTGGTCAGAAGCTCAGGTCATGCTACTGGACAACGCTGCCTTCAAGAACGACGTTACCCTGCTGGGGATGGACAAGGAGGATGCGCTCATTGTATTCGAGGAGCACATCGCACCCTGGAGAAGGAGGAGGACGAGGAACGCGAGCGGGAAAAGAAGCGGATGAAGCGACAGCAGCGTAAGAACAGGGACTCATTTCTAGCGCTCCTGGACTCACTTCACGAAGAGGGCAAGCTTACCTCCATGTCGCTGTGGGTAGAGCTGTATCCCATCATATCCGCAGATCTTAGATTCTCCGCCATGCTTGGTCAGAGCGGTCTACGCCCCTGGATCTATTCAAGTTCTATGTGGAAACTTGAAGGCTCGATTTCATGACGAAAAGAAAATTATCGAGAGATTCTTAAGGAAAAAACATTTGTGGTTCAAGCAAAGACCTCCTTCGAGGACTTTGCGACGGTTGTGTGTGAGGATAAGCGGTCGGCCAGCCTGGATGCGGGCAACGTTAAGCTCACATAAATTCCCTGCTCGATAAGGTAATTATTTAAAGATAATTCTTAATCCATAAATTCTTATATGCTCTAATAAAATCTCTTTCCAGGCGGAAGCCATTGAAAAGGAACGCATGAAGGAAGAGGTGCGTAGGTTACGAAAACTAGAGAATGAGATCAAGAACGAGTGGCTAGAGGCCAACGTTTCGGTTGCCGAACCGTATGACAGTGCCAAGAAGCTAGTGGAGCACCTGGAGGCGTTTGCGGTATACGAAAAGGAAATTGGTGTGGAGAAGATTTGGGAAGACTTTATCAAAGAGAGCGAGGATGCGTGCAGTCATCATCACTCGCGATCACGGAAATCGAAGAAAAACAAGAAGCACAAGAAACGTTTAAGGTCCACGTCTCGATCAGACATTGAAAACGAGCTGGTTGAAGGTCTAAAGTCAAAGCGAAGACGCTCCAAGTCGCGATCGGTAAGAGAACCATCCAAACTCTTACTTTTAACTTAAACTAATCGTGTTTCTTATTTACAGCATTCCCTTAGCTCGATTGGCAGCATCGATAGCGAAAAACTGCTCAAGAAGAAAAAGAAGCGCAAGAACAAACTGCGAGGCGTATGTAGCAAGCATTCATTTACAATAAGAGATCTAACATTGATTTTCATTTCAGTCCTCCTGCGAGTCGGATATTGCTGGCAATCTAACACCCGCACACAGGCACTCTTGCAAAACGACTCCAACTCTCACTCGCCGGCCAAGAAGAAGAAGAAGGAGAAGCGAGCCAAGAAGGATAAGGAAGGCAAGCGGCATAACCGGCACAGCAATCGTTCCGCCACGCCCCTCAGTCCCGCGCAGTCCATCGAATCGGCCGGTTCACGCAATGAAGAGTTAACGTTAAGCGACGACGAGCTGGAATCAAAGCGAGCTTCGCTGCTGGCCAACTGAGCGAGCAGCTAGATGAGTGACCAAGCGGCGGCAAGCGTTGAGCCTCAGCCGACATAGACAGCGTGTGGTGCCCTCCAGGTCCAGCTAAAAGTGGAAAGCCAGCAGAGGCAGCAGCAGCCGCAGCAGGCCATCGACTCAGTAGCCCCGAAAGTTCACTGCTTAGCCACTTCGCCTAGCCATTTTAAGATCCAGCCCTGGCCTAGCACAAGCCGCGCAGCAAAACTCTAATGTAATTTCTTAGTTGCTATAAGTTCGATTGTGTAAATGAGAATTAAAGCTTAAAAGTCAGTTTTAAATTATAAAAAAAGAAACAAGATTTTGAGTCTCTGCAATATAATAAATGAAAAAGAATTTAAGTACACCCAGATTTGTATCTATTAATCCATTCCCATATTCAATGGGATCCTAAATATATACTAAGTGTTAAGTAAAACAAAATCTGTTTTCACTCAATGAATAGTCGATTTAACATCGAAAATAAACCAAAATTCACTCGTAATTATAGGGTGTACATATAAGAAAAACTCAGATATAATGTATTGACGAAAATTGGAAAATATTTCGTCGTTGATATACAAAAACTTTAAACATAGAAATATATTAAAATTAACATTAAAGTATCGCAAATATATTAAAAAAATATATATATATTTTATTAATTTTAAGGATTTATGTCAATAGAAAAATTCTGATATGCTATATGGCAAAAACCGGAAGGGAATCTAACTTCGGCATGCCGAAGTTTTTATTTTTAATTAATTTTTGAACTTTGCAATTAGATCATTAAGAATTGATTCAATTTGGTAAAAATCAGGAAATAAATTTATGAATATATAATTAGTCGGTTTCGATCAAATCTCAAAATGTTTTACAAATCGTATAAAATAACGAGTTCAGGTTAAATATTATTTAATAAAAAATGAAATGCAATTTGAAATATGTATTACGGTTAGTTAATATTTTTCTCTACATTTACCGATCGCTTCTATAACAGCTATATGATGTAGTATCTGATTTTATAAATTTAAAGAAATTTAAATTGCAGATTTGTTAACCTTATAAAAACTAGCAAAGGAAAGCTTTCCGAATTAATATTTATGGATTTTTGACTAAGTTGAGATCGATTGAGGATCCAGCCTGCTGGTCCAATTTAAACTGCAAGGGTATACAACTTCGGCTATCCGGAAGTTAACTTTCTTGTTTTTCTTATTTTCGATTATTCATATGGCAGCTATGTATATGACTCAAATGATAGGGTTAAAATATTGCGCTTAGGGACATATCGAAATATTACAACTTATATCTATAATTATCCCATTTAATTTAATATTGATGATAGAAAATTTAATTTTGGATATTTAATTAACCAGCTTTTTTCAAATTATTTTGTTCAATTTATGAAGAAAAATATAGTTATATCGCTCATATATCGTCTTCACGTCTAATAACGATACAGAAGGTTCATAGATGCTTTTATGTTTTTGTTCTGATAAAAAACGAATTCAGATATGATTTTTTACTATGTTTAATGACATTTCGACTTAAATTTGTCCACCAAACGCACAATATTGGAAAATCAGTTTCTTTGTTGACGTAAAACTAAAACTTGAACTCTTGTATTTCTTTGTGGTCTTGGCTGGATCCGTTTGTTGGCGCTTTCGCTTAGATTTTTGTCGTGCCACATGTTCGGCCAACATGTCGGAAAGATCTTCCTTTTGCAGGTGATTCTGCTGTTCCCGCATCTGCTGCTCATATCGCTGGGCCATAGCATCATTATCCATATCCAATTCGCTGGGATCTAGCGCCAGTTCCACAATACCCTCACGATCTGTGGTGGATCGAACTGGTGGTGCTTGTTGGCTCCACCACCGCCGCTGACATCATACACATGCGTAGAGCCCATCATGGAGGCTCCTATGCGGTCCGTCCGCTTCTCAGGCAGAACTTGGTACAGGACTGGAGTTTCATTGCTTAAGGGAGATAATACATCGATTAAATGGGTTAATATTATGGAGATTCAGATCGACTTACTCCTCCATTCGGCTTCGATTTTCTTTTTGCGTAGTTCAATGTTCTCGGGTGTTTCCATACCAGCAGGTACGCTGGTGAGTCCTGAGGGCGTAACAAGGCCTTCGACTGGCGTGACCAAGCCGGTCTCGTCCTGCTGATCGCCTAAGTCCTCGCCGTCCTCCTCCTCCTCTTCAGAAGACTCTTCAGACTCTGATTCCAGTTCGCCCCATTGGTTGCGCTCGATGTCAGCTTCATCGATGCCATTCTGGAAATAATTTTCCAAATTTTATATTCATTGTCACGTCATGAGATACTGATACTTACATCCAAATCCAATATGTTGGTGCCGAATACATCTCCATATAGCGGCTTTCCATTCTCATCCACAGGCGGTTGCCCCAGCCACCAGCATGATAACCGAACGATGTGCCTTCCGGAATGGGTGCATTCAAGCCAGGGATTTTCAGATTGGATATGAAGGCGGCGGCCCGTAACGCTGCTGGGCAATCAGCCACGGTGGCGGAATCTTGTGCGAGTTGGGACCTACAGGCATGCCGAGGGCGATCCGCAACTCTTCGGAAAGATCTCCAGGCTTCTTTTCCTTGAGGCGGGTCTCGAACTCCTTGCCCTCGTAGTAGAGATCACCGTGAATGGTCATGCGCGGCTTGGTCTGCCACTTGAAGAAGGCATCGTGAAGTTTTTGGTAGTCAATATCGATCTTGCCCATCTTTGGACGGACACGTTCCGCATCTTGGCCTTGAGGGTCTTGGCATCTTCGCGTTCTTGCAATGACTCACGCATCTCCATGATCCCAGTCTTCTTGATGAAAGCCGGTAAATCGAAGGGTGGTTTCTCGATGCCTCTCTTGCCCTGCAGATATTTGCGCTTGAAGCACCAATGCCGGGGCACTTGCACTGTATTCCTATAGGCCTTCAGTTGGACAGCAACTTGGGATCCCGTGCCGTTACATCATGCATTTCAACGACATCGGGTCGCGAGACCAACTGCTTTAACTCCGCCACACTCAGACGAGTTAGTTTCTTAAGTTTTCTCTTTGACAGCTTCTCCTTGTCATCCTTGTGTTCATCGTCGTCGTCGCCGTCATCATCCTCGTCGTCGTTGAGTTTGTCAGCGGCTTTTTTGTCCTTTGCCTGTGCATCCGAGTCCAGGGAAGATTTATCTTTTTCCGCAGGCTTTGGTTTGTTCTCCAGCTTAAGATTTCAAACACGCGGTAGAATTGCCGGTACATGGGTGCCAGATCGGCAATGGTGATCTTTTCAGGCACATATCTGCGCGAGGATAGTAAAATATGAGTATTTAAAAGGGTTGATCTAATTGTAGAACTTACTCTATGGTCACATCATCGTCGCCAGCCTCCGCCGCCTTTTTGTCCTTTTCCTTCTCGTCGTGGCGTTCCTTCTTTTTCTTGCTGCGACTGTCTTTGTGCTTGTCCTTCCCCTTCTCCGCCGGTTGTTCATCTTCGCTGCCTGCGGCCTTGGCTCTTCGTTCTGCTGATCCGCTGCCTCTTGCTCATCCGCTTGTTGGGCCAACTGCTGCTGTCGCTCGTACTCCAGCTGTTGTCGCACCTTCTTGTTCTGCTTCTTGCGCTTCTTCTTCTTTTTGTTCTTTTCCGCCTTGCTTTGCTTTCCAGACTTTTCCCGACCACCGCCATTCACGTGGTTCTCCGCATCATCATCGCTGTCTTCACCCACATCGGCATCCTCGCCATCCTGCGTGGCGCCTCCGCCGCTGCCGCCCTGCGAATCACCGTCAATTATGAACTCGGCTGCGCGTTGATCTTTAAGTGCCAGTACGTCCTCCAGGGCCTTGGGGAGCACCAGTTCAGCGGCGGATTTCTCAGCATCCCCACTGCTGTCTTCGGCGGCCTCGCTGGGGGTGCTTCCATTCCCATTCCCATTGGCCGCCGCCGCCGCCGCATTTTCGGACTGCTGCTGGTCGAACCGTATGGACATCAGCGGGGTGGGCTGGGCGCCCAGGAAAGAGGGACATTTAACGAACGAAGCACAGGTTGTGTAATTAACTCACCTCAGTGTTTAGCTGGTCCGCCATAATTAGAAATACAATTTATAAACGAAAAACCACTGCGAAAACATTGATTAGTGCTGGCACTATCGATAAAAAAATCGATATTATAAATTTTGTTAGTATTTTTTTCATTCATTTCACTTCATTTAAGATAATTAACAAACATCAAACGACGTATAATTTGTTTGTTTCAAAAGTTAATTATAATAATAATGAATGATCTTCGTTCGTTTCAATAAATAAATAAAAATATATGTTTTTAAAACCAAAAAATCTTTTAAGGTGGTTGAAATCATATTTTTAATTTAATATATGTGCTATATTACAGTATACAGTATACTCTCTTTAATATTTCAATTCTCCAGCATTTTTCAGTAGGTGCTCTCATTTTTTAAATACCCGCACTTAAATCGATCACATTTCTAGCGTTTTTATTTCAGAGTGTATGTTAAATTAGATACAATTCTGGGAATCCCCCAAAAGATTAAGTAAACTAATCATCAGCTGACTTGTTATAAACAAAGTTAAAACTTTATCAACTTTATTTATTTAACAAACTATTTCAGTGCAGAATTATTTTCCATGGAATAGATAAGAAATTTGTTCATTCGGGGAGTCACACGAATATAAGTTAAGAAACTGTGTCATCATACATCAGTGAATTACGAATTAAAGATATTCCACATTTGCTGACATATTTTCGCCCTATTATACTGAAACAGGGCCTCAAGCATCTTCCTTTCGTGTCATCTTGGGGGTCAGCAGGGACGTTGTTTTCTGCTGGGGTGCTCGACGACAGCCCGTTGGGGTTCCCCTGATCCACATCCGGTTTCACTTCGTCAATCTCTTTGTTTACTTTAATCTTTTCAGCGTCCGACATTTCAACCTATCGTTCTCCTGTTGTATTTTTAAATGAATAACGAGAACTGTTGACACCGTGGAGTATATCGAATAGATTGATGTAGATATGACTAATTAATCGAATACACAAGTATCGACGTATTGATTAAGTATTGACGTAAGATTTAAGACCGCCAAGAAATAAGTTCTTTCTGATTTTAAAATATCTGTATTACCCCGAATATAAACTAGCAATTAAGGTGAACGATTAAGCATATTATTATTTTCTGTATATCATGAAACTATATAAGTTGCGCAACATGTAGAATAGATAAGATAAGAAATATTTTCTGTAGGGAATCCCCTTGGCATACTTGAAGATGCTCTTATTGGTCCGGGTCAGCAATCTATTATTTCGAATTGAAAATACTCCACATTTGCTGTGCAATTCTGGCTTGAGCTATTTTGAACATGGCCTCGAGATACTTTCTTTGGTTGTCTTCTTGGGCTTGGTCGGCGCTAACGTTTTCCGTTTGGTCAACAACTGTCGTCTGGACATCCTTCTGCTCTTCAGCCGGCACTTCGCCTTATATTTAAAAAAAGTAAATTAAATTATTTTAATATTATGTTTTTTACTTAGTTGTGCAAATACCTATGCTCTTGGCATAAACACTGGCTAGTGCAAGGATTAGTAAGCAGCAAAAGATAATCTTCATGTTTAGGCTTTAAAATTTTACTGATCTTGGTCTGGACCACGACTGGGATTTATATATCAAAGCCATAATTCGATTGGCATGGTACTGTATTGTTATCGAATATACCTGGGAATATGAACGTCATACAATTACGTGGTTTGCTTACGTTTGTAATTCAGTGTGACCTACTGCCGGGTAGAAAAAAATCTGCTAGTTTTCCGGCAAATTTCAGAATTATGAAAAACCACACTAATTAATTGTTCATTTTCCGAAAACTAAAGGCAACTGCAAACAGAATTAAACAGCCAGCGACAGCGATAAGCGATAAGCATTTTCTACTTTTATACAACGCCGCAAAGAAACCTCAGAACAATGACGGATCTGCGCAACGAGATGGACAGTGACCTGGACCAGAACTACTCACTAAACAGCAACGCCGACCCCAAGAACATGCAGGAGCTGACCATATACGTGAGTAATCCTGATCCAAATCTGGGTCCGGCAACGGATGCGGATGCGGAAACCCACCCATAAGTAGAGATCGTAATGAGAGCACCCAGTAAACCGCCGCCCGCCTCCTGTTATCAGGTACAAAATCTGTTGCAGAACGTGCAGGACAAGTTCCAGACGATGTCCGATCAGATAATAACGCGCATCGACGACATGGGCAACCGCATCGACGACTTGGAGAAGAGCATTGCGGACCTGATGAACCAGGCCGGGATCGAGGGACAGGGCCCGGAGAAATGAGACCCGTAGAATATGGGGCCGGCAAAGCCTTCATCCAGCCACGCCCAGTAGCCATTGGGCATCGCAGATGCGGATCCTCCCATTAGTAAACATCGAAAGCACCCACGGCACCCAGTCACTCACACGAATCCACGAATCAAGTTTACAATTCCAGGCTCTCACGTTCATTTAATCTCCCCCCCAGCACCCGGTTGCTCCATAAACACACACATTTGCTCATCCGTTTATTGTGTAGTTTTAAGTTTCCTCCTCCCAGAGAGGGGATCATCATAATTTTAAGTAACGTAATTCCTTTGTGAGCAAAAGGGTCAATAATTTAGAATTATTGCCGTTTTAGTTTCTATTTATAAATTGGATTAAAAACAACAAATTGAGAATTGTACAAGTACCTAGTTTTGGTGGTTTGAGGTCGACTTTGATGAGGATTTCGATTTAACAATGGTTACCTGGCGACCTGCTCCCGATTTCCGCCTTCTCACCTGCAGAGAAGGGGTTTGTTTTTTGGGAGAAAGAAGAGAAAAGGGTGGTAGAGAATATTGTCATTTCCGCATGATTAGTTATGCTATGCATACATTTATTCTTGTTTATTTGGGGCAAATAATGCAAATCGTGAGGCGTGACCATTAAAGGGGGTATGCAAATCAGTAATGTCTTTAAGCTAATGTTATATTTGACATATCTATTTATAAAGGAGCGAAGGGAAGCCGAATTAAAATAGCCAGTAGAATTGATTTAGCATGATTTGATGTAAACATTAAGTTTTAATGGAACTTAAACTGAGAGATAACAAGTAGCTTTAAAATGGGGGTGAAATACTGAAGGTCAGATAACTATAACTTTAATGAATTATATTGATTTATGTAAGCTCAGGTTTGCTTCTTAAAAAAGTGGGTTGGCATAAAGCAAAAATGAATGATATAGCGAACTAATACTTCTTAATTCTGCCTTAACCACTTGAAAGAAACCCTAACATATTGTCTTAAATGCTAAATTCTGCTCACTGCTATATACTTGAAGGCAGAAGCAATAATTGTTTTCTCATTAAATTTATAATTCAGTTCAGCAAACAGCTATGTAAATAGTTCTGATATGTGCTCAGATAGTCGGCAATACTGTAATGTGATAATATTCTCTCTAGTTACTCTAGTTAACTGAGAGAGTCCCAATTTCCGTGTTTCAGTGCTAGTGCTGGGGCACATGGAACTGCTTTTGCAGTCTTACATGTGTGGAGGCCACCGCCTTGAAGGGATGCTTCACCGTCTGCCTGGCCGGTTTCATAGAACCACTGCAGTGGCACTGGTACTGGTCGATGGTGTGCCGGCAGGGGCCCGTGTCTTGGCCCCAAATACATTCTCCCGGGGTGTAACTGTGTGGTTTGCTGGGTGGTGTTCTCCCTTCGTCATCGGTGGCAGTGCCGGACTCTTCCTCGTCATCATCCTCGCCACTCTTTCCGAGTCCTGAAAGATCAAAAGAAAGAATTTCAGTTTAATTAAAATCAAAGCATTAGTATTTACCTCATCATCATCGTCCTCATCATCTTGCTCGTCACTCTCCTCCTCAGGTTCGGTCCTAGACCCATGATTGATTCCACCTCCTGCCAGATTCTTGCTACTCCTGGACAATTTCTGGCGCCTTTTCAGCGGACTGACCAGGTGCTCGTGCTCTAGGCTATCCATCGACTGTGAGCGTAGACCTTTCTTAAGGGCCGCCTTGCGAGGAATTGGCTCCTCCTTGGTCTTCATCAGCTTCTGGAACTCCATAAAGTCGTCGCGCTCATCAATGCTTCCGATGTCGTAGTAGCTGGCACTGAGTACCTCCAGTGCCTTGGTATGCTGCTTCATGGAGATCAGGATAAAGTCACTGAGGATCCTCTTCAGATCGCCCAACTTGCGCTGTTCAAAGTTTCCAATGATGTCGTCAATCTCCTTATTAGTGCGTTGCACCTCCATTTTGGCCTTAAAAAGCTCTGAATCGGCAGCACTCTGCAGCAGGAAAGTGTGATATAATATTAAGGAATACCAGATCTTTAAACTTACATTATTAGCGGAAAACTTGGACTTGAGCTCCAGCATCTGGCGTTGACGTAGCACTTCCTTATCCCTGGCTATGACAGCCAGACGTAGATTATCCCGAGTGGATTTACACAGATGCTCGAATTGGGCCAGCTCGTTAACAATCTAAGGGGGAAATTATATAAATTTTATTAGTAAAACTATAAATTATATGCCTTAATTTTACAGACCTTATGCTCCAGCCGATGGACATTAATGTCCATGTAATCACTCATAATGGTTACGGCATTTGTGAAGCTCTTGAGTCCTTGACACAGACTATCATTTATTTCCTCCTCGTCGGCATAACTTTTAACGCCCTTTGCCAGCTCATCGAAGGAGTCGCGATATCTATAAGATAAATTTCCATTAATTCAGATATATATACTTTAATATATTCCCTACTTGGCCATTTTCCTTGTCACCAAAGCAAATGATGAACACATTTCCATTAAATGGCGTTCGGTCAGCGTAATGCGTTCATTTATGATTTTAATGCGATCGTCTTTGGTATTTAAGAAAGACAGTTTTCCACGACGAAACATTGTGCCTTTGTTTTGATTATTATTCTTTATTTTCTTTTTTCCTTTGACGGGAAAAACCAAGTGAAAACCGTTGTCAAGACAACGGTAAAATTGGAAAAACTATATGGCAACTTGGCAGAAAATTGAGCTGACAACATGGCTAAATTAACAGTACTGTTAAATGCTTTCGGTCTCCATAGCATAGAGGTCGCTTTTCCTTTGGGAAACCTTTACATAAAATTCTACGTATGTGTAGTTTACATATGTCACAACTGGGAAATTTATTTTAAATGTTTAAATGTTTATTTCGGCGTATACGTTTTAAAAATTATTTTTAGACTCTCTTAACTTACAAATTTCAAGGCATAATGCTAGAAGCTTAACAGTGATAATATTTGCCTATATTATTCTATAATTATGAACTCGAAGTGTAAATTTTCGATTAAAAAAATTATATTAGCCACAAGAAAATGGTTCCCCTTTTCACCCAACAGTGTCAAGGTCAAGAGCATCATGTTTTGTCATAATTTGTGGGCGGTTGTATGCCATGACATGCGGCTATATTTAAATCGAAAAAGAGCCAGACAAACTAAGAGGTACACGTTAGAGAAAAGAGAAAAATAAATATGTAAATGATGAAATTTCTGAATGACTAATTACACATTTGAAAATTAAATAAATAAGTTTGGAACTAATTTAAAATCAATGTTTCTATACATATAAAGAATCATAGTTTTCTTATACGAAGAAGCGTTTAAGCTCTTAAGTATCTGTAAAAAATATAAATTCTCCTAAATTAAAGCCCAAACTAACTTAATTTCTGCCTCCATGTCACAACCTTGATAACCAAATGGCGTTTTTGGGGAATTTTTATTTCGAAGCCACAGCTCTGACCGCAAGAATGTTGTGTCAACAATTAACCGAAAATGGCAATTAATTTTAAATGCTCTTTTCCCACTTAAAGGCATAGTGCAATCAAACCTGTATTTAGTAATATATAAATAGCAGTCTCGCCCGAATAAAACCAACGAAAGTGCAGTTAAATGAGAATCCGGTTCGCAAGATGATGACAAGAATTACAAGTTGTAGAAAACAAGGCAGAGGCTACAGGCGAAGATTCCAACAGCTGTCGAGATACCGATCTGGGCAAAAACTACTACTATATACATATATATAAGGGAAACCGGGATCTGAGGGCCAGGTGGGGGCCAGGTGAATGGTATTCATTGTCAATCCAAGGAACGTAGCTTGGCGTGCGTTCCTTGTCGCTGTGCCGTCAATATATAGCCGCCTCTTTCTGATTCTTTGCCTCCGTCTCATTCTTCAGCGACTGAATAGCCGCTTTGAATTTCTGATTTTCCTGCACCTCGAATTGTTTTGGTCAAGGAATGGCCCACAGAAGCGACATTCACTTTTGCCCAATGGGGTCTTTGTTGAGTTACTTTATGCTACTTTGAATACCCTGTAAACTTATAGTAGAATGAATAGATAAATAGTTAAAGGAATAATTAAATAAATGATCAGTCAAAATAATAGATTATATTCTTGTTTATAATTTATAACAACATTAAATTAAATATATAAAATGGAAAACGAAACTCCTCTATTATATTTAACTGATGGAGAAACGGGTGTTATATGTAGAGGATCAGTAAGTATCTTTCAACAGTAAGTAACTATGACCAGTAAGTACCTATGACTAGCAAGTAATTAAATCAGTAAGTATCAATGATCAGTACTTAACTATGTGCAACAAGTAACTATGACCAGTAACTAACTATGAACAGCAAGTATCTACGACCAGTAAGTACCTATGATCATGCCAAATCGGTGGAATATATATAGACATATATATAGCTAACATAGGAACAATCGGACGATTTCTAAAACATTGATCAGTAATTAACTCTGAACAGTAAGTATCTATGACCAGTAAGTAACTATGATCAGTAAGTATCAATGAGCAGCAATTAACTTTGACCAGGAAGTATTTATGGACAGTAAGTAAATCTGAACAGTAAGTATCTATGACCAGTAAGTAACTATATCAGTAAGTATCTAAATATCTAAAAGTATAAGAGTAACTAGGTATCTAAAGGGGACCATGGCAATAAACAAATAAATTGGACCTAGGCCTGATCCCATTACCAGCTTCATACATAATATAAATAGTTAAGACTTACCGCAGTAAAGGACACGTCAGTGCTTACTTCCTTTCAGTGTAGTAACCAAGAATCCAAGAGAGTTCTTCCTAGTCATCCAGATGTTTTGCATTGGCCACGTAATATTTTTAAGGTCGAAGGCTGATCACTTGCACTATCACTGTCGATATAAACACTAGGTACCCCTAGGACAGACTGAGGCGCGCGCGACCTCAGCGCCTCTATTTATAGTTCCCGAGGAAAGAGAAGAGAAGAGAAAGTGAGTGTGAGTGCGCGGGAGAGGAGTTGCCTCTAGAGATAAACGTAAAGCGATAGACATAGAGAAAGAGGGGGAGAGGCAGAGAGTAACAGGGACTATTTTATTTAACTATAATCAATAAATAACTTCGAACCGTAAATAACTATGAACAGTAAGTATGTATCTTTGACCAGTATGTAACTATGATAAGTAAGTATGTATGACCAGTAAGTATGTATGATCAGTTACTAACTTTGAACACTAATAAACAATGACTTGCAACTTTTGTGACAACACTTTTCTGATACTTGGCCGGCAGAAGTCACTTCGTTCCGGGGATGTTAAACCAGTTTGGAATTATATGCACATGTGTGTTAGATTTGTTTTGGAACCAATTTATGCTATTTGAATAAAACTATGGAGTTATTCTTTTATATAATTTTACTCGTATATAAGTCGAAGCATGGCAAATCGGTGACTATATATATATATACATATATATAGCTGCCATAGGAATGATCGGAAATGTTTAAGAAAAAATATTATAACTTGACTACTATATCATATAAAAATAAAGAAAAAATAAAAACGGTGAATGTAAAACTGTTAATATAAAATGTATAGGTGAATGAAATGAAAGCAGGCATTAATTTATATTTTCTAAAATAAAAAAATATAATTTATATTGCATTAATTCCTAGTGATCGAATATCAATCTTCGACGTACTTAGCTTTGAAATTAATAGATCTAAAAAATAGTATATAAGTTAGAACAATCCTCAAAAATAAAATGCTTATTATTATATAAATTAAAAAAATATATTCCCCCAATTTAGATAATATCTTTAATAAATATTATGCATTTTTAGCGACACAAGAATAGAGCTATCATATTATTAATCGGTTTGTTTAAAAAGAAATCTCAAAATATGTATTCGTTAAATAATTCTTCTCTCTGATTCTTCTGTTCTCCGTGAACATCTTTCTTCTGCTCTCTTGTCTGGCTCTCTTCTTTGTGTCCAAAACTTGCGTGGGTATAAAAGAAGCCAAATTCGTACGCAACCCGTTTAGTCCGAAATTTCTCACAAAAGCCAACGCACGTCAAAGATCGCGAGTTCAGTGCGGATCGAATTATATCTTCCTCCCAAGAGCTATTATTATTAACCTGCAGAAATAACTGTATGCAAAACCAAAAAAGATTATGCAAATTCGTGAGTGTCGGTATGTGAATAAAACAAAATAAAGAGGTTATTGTGTTTCTGTGTGCATGAGCGATTTCCGTTTTGGCGCTGACAATATTGTTTATAAACAAATAATTCAAAAGCTTATTCTCGTGCTCCCTCGATTTTCTCGCCCATCTGTTTTTATTTTTGCGAAATATATATTTACTTGTGCTCACTTTTATGTTGGCTGAAGCATAAACAAATGGTTTCTTAATTTCTCGGGTATAAAAATAATGCGATAAAAAGTGCGTTAAATGTTGCCAATTTTTATGACCTTGAGAATAAATATTTACAAAATGGAACCAAATAAAAAAGTGTTTAAGTTTTGAGGAAAAGATAAATGAAAGAAATGTTGTGTAAATAAGGAAACTGGAATAGATTTAATGGGATTTTTAAATCATGTTCTTTAACATGTATATAATATAAAAGAAATTGAGTATTACTTAGGAAAGGAAAGGCAAATAATATTATATTCTTTATCAATTTTGCCTTCATAAAATTTAATATATAAAAAGATTATTTGTTATTAAAATCTATTTTTATTTCAAAACTAAACAGAAACTGTGCTAATGGCAGCTTCATATTGTAATTTAAAACCAGTTTTATCAATTGTTTATAGTAAACGACAAAACAAACAATTGCAGAAAGAGACTAACTAGCTTTAGATCCCTAATAAAATTCTAATTAATTAGTTAGTTCATAAAACAAAATTCAATGAGATAGTTAATTAATTAAAATCCGTATAAAAGGGTCTACTTGTAGTTACCTCGCAGATCATTCATAATCGCAGATCCTATAACAATTCTGTATAAAATGCTGATCTCTGACATTAGGCAAAGTCGTGATTGAACTCGACTCAATCAAGGCGTGACTGATTTATGGGTGGAATTAAAAAGAAGCACTTTATCATAACAATTTAATTACAGAGAAGAACAATCTACTATTCTAACTTGTAAGCTTCGTCTAGAGTTATATTCAGTATATATATTTTTAGAAATTTCCCGAAAGATAATAGGCAAATCAAGTGAGTTTAGTTTGTTTACACAATCGGCCGCCACCTTGAACTCTACACCTAGACCGTGTGCGGCTCAACAGGTGATTTAAGCATTCGTTGAATTGACATAATTCCACTCAATGCAATCGATGTGGAATTGAAAATACGAATAACCCATAAAACGAAGAATAGAAAAAAACATTCAACAACTGTGACAGGGACACGTAAAGCGTAGAAGTAAAAATAATTGTAAATGGAGAAACATAGAAAACAGCGTGCAGCTAACGAAGCGTAGACACAAACTGATTAACCTAAGTAAATTGATCATACCGACAGTATATATATACATATATATATATAATGCAGGTAGCTGTTAGTAAACAGAACTTGAAATGCTCTTCTTCAGGGAAAGAAATATATATGGTCTAAAATAATATTGGGAAAGTGTTGAACTAATCAGTTTTAAGATTTATATCCTGTAAAAACTAATTAAGTCTCAGAAGTATTAGTAATTATTTTCGTTATTTTATAAAGACGTGTCTGTATGTTTGTAAAAATCCATCATAAATTAGGTATTTATTGGGGGAAAAATATATAATTTGGTAACAAATAGTATTAAATATAATATATTAATAAACTCTCAGCTAGTAAATATGCATTTTATATCCCTTAGAATTAACATTAGTAATATGCTCTAATTCTAAGGGATATAGGAAAGAAAAATAAAAAATAATACCCTTTAAAAGGTTACACAAAATATTACTCATACGTTCCCAAGCCAGCACAGTGGTGTCCCGAAATATTACACCAGCTGTGAAGCGTTCTTCCCACAGTTATTTGCTAGTCATTTTAATTTGTTTTTTTTTTAAGCCCAGCGACTAATTGAGAGAGCGAGAGAGGGCACTCACTGAGGCCCACGTCAGTCACTCATTTACTCACTCACTCCCTCTCTCTTTTCCACCCGCTCGTTCTCTCTCTTTCTCCGCCATCGTTCTCTCTCTTTCTGATTCCATAGCCGGGTCTCATTTGCCGCTTATTTACCGCTTCCTCAAATCATTTAAGCGCATTTGACGATTGTTTGCCTTTCCACACAGAACAGAATCTCGAATCTAGTTAGCCGACATTACACTAAAAAAAAACCTAAATCAACAATTAAATATTGACAAAAGTATAACAACAAAAAATAAAAACAATAATAAATAAACCCTTAACAATTGCCTAAAGGTGTGTGAAAATATAACATACATTAAAATGAAGCTGTTGTTCGGTGTACTGGTGATCACTTTGGCCCTTAGTGGAGTCTTTACCCTGCCAGGTGAGTTATAAAGTTAATTATAACCAAGTTTTAGTGCTTTTCCTTAATTAGCATGAAATATTCATAAGAAAACGGCGGCGACCTTTTGACTTTATAGACAAAGGAGGCTTGATAAGACATGGGGAAGTCCGAGAACATTCTCTTTTGTTTACTTTTTTTTTGAATATATATTTTCTGATCTGGTAAAGTCCGGTATTATCTGAAGCTATATTTCCGTGTAAAGCCAGGTCTTTGATAACACAAATCAGATAATAGGATTTTAATTATGAAACAAATACTAAATATAAACAAGTATATATTTTTAACTTTAATTTCAAGCTGTTTTAAAGCTTTAAAGTTATCTCTCCTTGCCGGGATAATGATGTCTGCCTGGTAGATAACAAAAGCAAGACACTTGACAATCAGCCAAATGCATCCAACAGATACACAAGTAACTACAAATAGCAAAATATCTGAGAGTCTTCTTCGTTCCGCCGCATCTGAGATTCAGAGATTCAGAGTGTATCTGTGAGATCCAGGAGCGGCATCCTTATTGTCATCATCAGCGTTTTGCTGTTCGCTGCTGCTGCCTTTGGCTGCCACTTGAATGCATAAATTGCCGAAGAAGCTGCGCTGCCACTGAATTGCAACTGATGGGCGGCTGTGGGCGGAGGGGGCACAGGGGGCGTGGCAGCTGCCACAGCCACTTGAAGTTGTCAAATTCGCTGCAGTCGAAATCATTTGCAAGGAATATGAAAATTTTATGCAACTCTCGTAAATTCATATTTTTTTTTGGTAAAGATTTCTTGAGATTTATCTTGGAAGTGAGTGCTCTAAATTTGCAGTGAAATTTGGCAGGGAAATGGGTTTTGCTTTACGTTACTTAACTTATTAAGAATGAAAAGTTAAATTTAATAACCTGATAAATAATAACAAAAACAGATCTTGAATTGAATAAATGAATTATTAAATATTAATAAGAAGAAAGATAATTTCAAATATTTCATTGTTTGAATGCAGATCTATTGAATAAAAATACATTTAATTATTAAGGAATGTAGAAATACTTGATTTATTTGAATATCAAGATAATCTTTGAAGCATCTTTGACCCATACATATATTATATTATATTATATATTATTTAACAATATTAATATTTAGTTTTCTCGTTGTTTGACGCTTTTCAACCAACTCAAATCCCAGTTGGTTGAATGAACTCAAGTGTGGGTCTTATGCACTCAACTTCTGGCTTTTTCTGCTCGTCATTTCTTGGCCCGAATGCAATGAAATTCTTGAGCACTTTTCTTTGCTTGACTTGCTTTCTTTTTTTTGTGTTGTATTTTTCTTAATTTGGTTTTTACGAGAACGGACCATGTCAGTGTCCCATGGCCAAAAGAATTGGGTTAATTATGGCCATAATTCGCGTTTAAGGCCTTTTTCCAGGGAACGTCTCCCTTTCGGCACGAAAACAAATTGCAATTGCATGTGCGCACATAAATCAAGTTTTTTTTTATTTTATTTTATTTTCTGGTTGGTCATATGTAGAGTAATAAAACTCATAACAATTATTATTATATTATTGGTAAATTATTATTTTATTTTCCATTGTTGGTGGTTTAGTTGTTGCTGCTGAATTGCCTGGCAATTTGCTTAATTTAGAGGGATATTTATTTATGCAAATTGAAGTTAATTTTTTGGGCCTTTACAAATATTTTCATGGCATTATTTGATGAATGGCCAGATAATTAGCATTTTACGAGGGGATGAGAGGTGGAATATCCCCCAAAATCACTGGCTATTTGCTATGAAGTGGAAATATTGTGAGTTCATTTATTTGGTGCCTAAGCTGATTATGGAAAATTGTTGACAAAACAGGGAAAGTGGCAATTAATTGGCAGTCCAATACGGTGACCTAATACAACAAATAATAATATTCAAACTAATTATATTATATTCGAATTAAATAAAAAATAAGATGGCTTGTTGCAGTTGATTTATTTCGTTTTTATTTTTGGTAAAAAATTAATTAATTGAAATTCAATTGAATTCTCTTTAATCTCTTTAAATGAAAATAGTTTTAATTACAACTTCAGACAGGTTTATTAAATGAAGGCTTCAAAGCCGAAAGTCAATTAAATGAAACAAATACAAAACACTTTTGATAACTTAATAAAATGCTTAAATTTAAACTTTCGACTTAATCTGACTTGACTTGAATAGTTTTAATATTCTGTTTTGTATACGGAAGGAAGAAACAAAGCAAATTAAACTTTGTCCGAACGATTTGTAAATGCAATAAAAACAACACAAGCTTATGCGAATTAAATGGAATTTGTTTTTTGGAATTTGAGCTATAAACTTTAAATGGTTTAGTATTTCGAATGTTTTTCTTGGCTTTTCGTCACCTTGTACATATTTAATCCAACACATTTATTTATTCTGACACAATTAAATACACAATTGCTTTAAGGCATTTTCTGTTGGGCATAAAAGACAAAGACTTTAATAATAAATTTATCTGGTGAGATTCATGTGAAGAGAAAATAGATTTATTAAAATACGGAATAGTTTTATTTATATTTATTTAATTTTTTTAAGCTAGCTTAATAATAGTTTGAACCATTTAACACGACAGCTAAACCATGTTCTTAGTTGTTTTGCTTTTTTTATAGCAACATCTGTTTGACTTTTAGCCAAATGATTAATTGCTTTCCACGGAAATCTACACGAATCTATACAAAACTTTGTTTTGTAACGTGACTGCGAATTCAATGAGGGGAAAATCAGTAAATGAAAAGTGTTTTTTTGTGTTTATAACCTTTGTTGATATGAAAGGTTAAATTCGCTTTAAACAAATTGTAAAAGCTCAAAGAATTTAAGTCAGATTTTAACAAAATTAAAAGGATTGAGAAATGATTTCCTCAAACTTATGATATTCTATACATTTTTAACTTGTATACCTTTTTTTACCCTATCAGGTGTTATATTTTTATTCAGAAGTTTGAAAAGCATTGAAGGAGTCATTCCGACCCTATAAATCATATATATTCTTGATCAGCATTAACAGGCGAATCGATTTAGTCATATTTTAAAGAAATTAATTTTTGATATATTTTTTCAAAATTTTAAAAGGGGTTACATTGTTAAAATTTTTAAAAATGGACAAAAATGTATTTTTTTTTAATTTATAAATTTGGTATGCTGATTTATTAATCTAATAAAAACTAACATAGGACAGCTTTCCAAAATAAAATGAAAGCCGTTTTGGCTTAGTTATGATTATTTTAAACTTTGATTTGCTGAAAAAATTGTCATATGAAGAATGCAAATATTTTAGCTTTGTTATGATCGATTTCCAATACGATCCCATAATTTAATGGCAAACTGCAAGGGCATATAAAATTCGTTATCCTGAAATTAGGTCCTGTGTTGTTAATATTTATTTGCAATTAACTTTGCATATGAAATACGAAAACTAGTGACTTGACCCGCCTGAGTCATTCGGCGGCTATTAAAATATACTAAAGAATTAACTAAGCAATTTATTGTTTAGAGCTTTTGCCTAATCAACAATGAAATGTTCACAATGAAACCTGCAGAGACAATTGTGTTGTGATGTTTATATAGAAACTGGTAGCTAGACTCTGGACCCGCTGCCTCGAATCGCAATTGTTGAATGTCACGAAGGGATTAGCAGCTGATCCCCTGCCAAATTAGACGGTGACTCAGACTAGTTTGTCTGTGATTGAGAAGTACTGCAGTAGCAACTGCCTCGATTCTCACTCCCAAAAACCAAACTTGGCTACGGTTCAATGTCACGTAATCGCTGCAAGGCTCCTCCCCGGAGGTGTGTGCCCCCTCTGAGTGAAGATCTCGCACATCCAACCCCCCTTTTGTGACGCCTCTTTATGTTAATTTATGTGCTGGCAAAATGTGCAAGCGCCTCTAATGCTCAGCCACGCATGGCGCAAACCCGAAATCAGAAATAAATTACAGAAGGCAGTTGTGTCGGAGTTGAGAGAGGAGCGGAATGGAGTGGAGGATATATCCAGACGAGGCAGTTGCTCATAGTCAGCACAAACTGGGGGGAATTAACACCGAATAATCACACGAACGTGAAGTATGATGATTATGCGGAATGGTGTCCATGTTAATTAACCGGAACTCAACTATAATCTGATTTCTTTTGGGAAGTTTTCTTAGGGAACTAAATGACTTTAAAATGTTTTTATTTACCTAATTTTAAATAGACAATATATTATTGTTCAAGCTAAAAACAATAAGCTTTTAGTAGCTAACTAGTACTTAGTAACTTGTAATTAAGCTCCGACTTGCTGGCTTCTTTGTATGTCCAGTTTGTAATAAATCTTCTTTTAATTTACCAAGAATTTAATAAGTTTATTATCAATATTAAATCTTATAATATTGCAGTGTAATGACCCACAGTAAAATGAATCATTGTTGAGGAAAATTTCTCGGAAATATAGCTATACTTTGAGTTGAGCCAATAATGTTTATATTCAGTATATGTAATATTGTATTTTTCTTAATTGCATTGAACTCATAATCAGCTTGAGACACTTTCTTGATTTTTATTGTTTAATTGCCTTAAATGCAATTAATAAATAAAGAACAGCTCCCAGAACCTTTTAAAGATTACCATAGTTTAAGGGGATGATATTCTTATTGATTAAAAATGAAAATTCTTTAATTGGAATTAATTTACTTTGAAAGGGTACAAATGTAGGATTGTCATTTTGTAATTGAACTAAATTAAATCTAAAACTATACCTTATATAATGATACATCTTAGTTAAGTCACATATTTAAAAAGATATTGCTTTCGAAAGGATGATATTTAAACACCCTTTTTTGGCGACTTCTGGTTATCCTTTCTTATTCGTTATTCACCATCTTAACCATCGTATAAACGATAAATCCTGTATGTATATTTGGTTTTACTACGAACAGGAATAATTGTATATTATAATGAAATCCCGTTCATTACTCAAATACTCA